ATAACGTACCCAAAACTCAAGGGTGCAGAGCCAGAGTTGATTGTCACTGGCATAACGTACCCAAAACTCAAGGGTGCAGAGCCAGAGTTGATTGTCACTGGCATAACGTACCCAAAATTCAAGGGTGTAGAGCCAGAGTTGATTGTCACTGGTATAACGTACCCAAAATTCAAGGGTGCAGAGCCAGAGTTGATTGTCACTGGCATAACGTACCCAAAACTCAACGGTGCAGAGCCAGAGTTGATTGTCACTGGCATGACGTACCCAAAACTCAACGGTGCAGAGCCAGAGTTGATTGTCACTGGCATGACGTACCCAAAATTCAAGGGTGCAGAACCAGAGTTGATTGTCACTAATATAACGTACCCAAAACTCGAGGGTGCAGAGCCAGAGTTGATTGTCACTGGCATAACGTACCCAAAACTCAAGGGTACAGAACCAGATTTTTTTTTATTATACTTTTCTTTAATGGCACTGACCTTCGGTTACAGATCTGCCACACTATTTACTAGGCTACTCCCGGTCTCTTTTACTTTGAACTAAGCATAAAATATATTGATTATAAATTTAATGCTACTAGCGTCACCTAGTGATGCGAACTATAAACATACGAAACTGTAACAACTTTGAAAAGCAGAATGTGTAAGTACAAACAACGTGTAGCCTACTTTATAATATTTCTTTTGTTCATAGACACCTAACAACAGCTGTTTCACACCTGATATAGAGTAAAGGTTACTGACTGAGTGTGTTCGAGGGGTCAGCGTGTCGGACTGTGTAATTAGTGAGTGTATTCTTTGATTCACGTGCAGCTATAATCATTATGGTATTCTTTGATTCACGTGCAGCTATAATTATTATGGTATTCTTTGATTCACGTGTAGCTGTAATTATTATGGTATTATTTGATTCACGCGCAGCTATAATTATTATGGCATTCTTTGATTCACGTGCAGCTATAATTATTATGGTATTCTTTGATTCACGTGCAGCTATAATTATTATGGCATTCTTTGATTCACGTGCAGCTATAATTATGATGGCATTCTTTGATTCACGTGCAGCTATAATTATTATGGCATTCTTTGATTCACG